GGGGGGGGGGGGCACAAAGGGCAGGAAGTGGCCTCTCTATTCCCAAAGCTGGGCGGCGCGCGGCCCCACCAAGACCATGACTACGCAGTCGCGTGGGGAGTGGCCTCTCTGTTCCCAAAGCTTAGGGGCGCGCGGCCCCACCAAGATCGTGGGGTGCCTGCCAGCATGGGCTGCTGTGACCGGCATTGCGGTGGGGAGCGATTGAAACCCCCCACGGGTGGTCGTCACGGCAGTCGAGGACCTTGAGCACGCAACTCTTTCGGCAGGCCCGTTTGGGTTCCTGCGTGTTCGGGATGCTGGCAAAATTCCTCTATCGTGCCCGTCTTGAAACACAGATCGAGGAATTCAACGTGCATGCGAGCCGGTGGGTGATTAGCCCACGAGGCGGAAGAAACCTTAGTGGTGGGAACCCTTTGCGGGTGCACCGTCCGCCAACCACGATCTGTTGTGAGAGGTTTGAGTGTGAGTATGCCTGTTGGGACCCGAAAGATGGTGAACTATGCCTGAGCAGGGTGAGGCCAGGGGAAACTCTGGTGGAGGCTCGCAGCGATACTGGCGTGCAAATCGTTTGTCGGACTTGGGTATAGGGGCGAGAGACTAATCGAACCATCTTATAGCTGGTTGCCTTCGAAGTTTCCCTCAGGATAGCTGGAGCTGTTGAACAGTTTTATCGGGTAAAGCGAATGATTAGAGGCCTCGGGGGTGAAACACCCTCGACCTACTCTCAAACTTTAAATAGGTAAGATTTCGGGGTTGCTTAAGCGAACCCCGAGGATCAATGAAAGCTCCAAGTGGGCCATTTTTGGTAAGCAGAACTGGCGATGCGGGATGAACYGAAAGTCGAGCTACGGTGCCAAACGGCGCGCTAACCGAGACACCACAAAGGGTGTTGATTGATACARACAGCAGGACGGTGGTCATGGAAGTCGAAATCCGCTAAGGAGTGTCTAACAGCTCACCTGCCGAATCAATCATCCCCGAAAATAGATGGCGCTGAAGCGCGCGACCTATCCTCGGCCGTCGCGGAGATTCAGACGCCCCGACGAGTAGGAGGGCGCGGGGCCTGCTGCGAAGCCTGGAGCGTGAGCCTAGGTGAAGCGGGTCCCGGTGCAGATCTTGGTGGTAGTAGCAAATATTCAAATGAGAACTTTGAAGACCGAAGTGGAGAAGGGTTCCATGTGAACAGCGCTTGGACATGGGTCAGTCGGCCCTAAGAGATGTGGAAACCTTGTATCAAGGGCGCACTGCGCGCCGCACATCGAAAGGGGGGTTAATATTCCCGAACTGGGTTGTGCTGGTGGACGGTAACGTAGGCAGCTCCGGAGATGCCGGCGGGGGCCGTGGGGAGGGTTCTCTTTCCTTCCTGACGGCTCGCCCACCCTGGAATCGGATCAACCGGAGATAGGGTGCAGCGCCCGGGAAAGCACCGCGCGTCCTGTGGTGTCCAGCGCGCCCCCGACGGCCCTTGAAAATCTGGAGCTGCGGGTACCTCTCA